GCCAATATTAAGAATCAATTATGTTCCTTTTTTCATGTGTCTTTTTTCGAGCTATTATTATTTAATGTTTTCCTTCCTTTTGCATCCTCTTCTTTTTTCTTTTTTTCTTTTCTTTCCTTCTTTTCCTTTTTTTCGAATTACAAATAGCAATACCACAAGACTGAGAATTTTCTTTTTTCTTTTTTTTTTCTTTTTTCTTTTTTTTTCTTCGCGAATTCAAAATATAACAATTAGTTTGAAAAAAGTAATCAAATGATCGAAACTAAGCTTATCGAAGTACTGGGGGATGACGGTGACGCGAGAAAAGGGAATAAGGATTGGAGGGAGGAGAGGGAGGGACGGATCATCAAATTTCTAAGTAATATTAAAAAGTAATTCAACTCGATCTTTCTCTTCTACTTTTTCATTCATACTTTCTTTCTTACCTTCCTTCAGATCGCAAAATTATTCAAAAGAAAAAAAAAAGAAAAAAAAAAGAAAAATAAAAAAAAAAAAAGAAAATATTTTTTACGATGCGTAAACAAAATTTAGACTTTGTTGTCTCGTCTTATTTTTTTTTTTTTTTTTTTTTTTTTTTTTGTATATTATTCATTCATCTCTCAGATCTTAGATATCTTGTTTCTTGTTTCTTCTTATCTCGAAAAGAAAAAGCAAAGAACCAAGAAAAAAAAAAAAAAAAAAAAGAAGAAAGTAATAATCCATTTGTAATATCGCTTAAGAACTTTTGTCCTGTCTCCCTCCCTCCCCCTGCTCATGTACCTAGTCATAACGAGATTATTTAATCTAATAATTGTAATCTTAATTAGACTTCTTAAGAAGTTATCATAAATGTGTTCATTTTCTCCTAGAACTTCCTAGTATATATGTATATATATATATATATATATATATATTTGTCCGTGTTTGTCTTATCGGATTGACCACATCAGTGTATTATCTACGGTTCGGTTTAATTGTTATCACTTTCGCATTGAATTCCGATTGAATAACGATCGTCTTTCGATTCTGATAAAATAATCCTGATAACGATCGAAAGTCGATGTGCACACGTGTAGGTTTTGTCAAATTACTTAACTATATATATATATATATATATATATATATATATATACACATAAAAATACACGCACTCGCACACACATATATGCACGCACATATATATATATATATGATTTAAAAAAAAAAAAAAAACAAAAAAGAAAAAAAAAGAGAGAAAAAAGATTCGTTCACTGGTTGATCGCTGAATAATAATCGTTCGATATATTCTCTCTTGCTAGTAAGTAGAAAGAAAGAAAGAAAGAAAGAAAGAAAGAAAGAAAGAAAGCAAGCAAGCAAGCAAGAAAAAAAAAAGAGAGAAAAGAAGAAGAAGAAGAAGAAGAAGAAGGAAAAGAAACGGGTCGAGGCCGTTCGTGGTCTGAATGACGGCTACGCGTATTGTCCACGTAATTGCATACAATTATATATCCATCGAAGAGGAAGAACGAGAGAGAGAGAGAGAGAGAGAGGGAGAGAGAGAAGAAGGTGGGGAGAAAAAAGGGTCGCTTAAAAAGAAAAAAAAAGGAGGAAAGAGGGGTGGGAGGAATGGCGTCACGCGAATCTTTTACAAGACAATGAAGAAATGTCGGATCAATTTTAGTGGCAGACAGGAGCTAGACGTTCACTAGGAACAAACTAGCCAGTCAGACAAAGAAAAAGAAACAGAAAGAAAGAAAAAGAGAGAGAGAGAGAGAGAGAGACTTACACATATATATAGAGTTATACATATTTATATTTATATATATATATATATATATGTGTTCCTATAAAAGTACGGCTATAATTCTTATTGTATGACTCATGTGTCTCGTTGATAAAGTAGTCGAATTTACTAGCTAAGTAAATTTTTGAATCGATGTTTTACAGATGAGATCGTAACCCCTGATGACACCATCATAGATTGATTCGAGTATTGAAATTAAGAACGAATTGCCCTACATACATATATACATATCGTACATAATATATATATATATATATATATATATATATATATATGTATGTATCTATTTATTATTTTTTTGTACATATGTTTTTGTACGTCCGTTCCCATATTATTTTTAATATAAATTACAAAGTCATGCTGAGTTTTAATTTGGTACAACGAAAAAGAGAGAGAGAGAGATTATAAATGAAATGTTATTGAACTCTTTTATATGTCGAACTCTGGCCCGCAGCGGTATTCCCGTACGAAATAAATTTTTATCGCTTTTATAAATTTATATGTATATATATATATATATATACATATAAATAATGATGCTCATTATATACGTCCGTATGTATATGCACATACATACATACATACATATGATATACACACGTAATTACATATCACATACGGGATATTTCAGATTAAATATATTCTTGATAAATATTTATATTATCGTTACAGTTGTAATTATTGCAGTATCGTCGATCGTAAAAAAAAAAGAAAATAAAAAGCAAAAAAAAAAAAAAAGAA